CTACAGGAAGACGCGATGAAGATAATAAATTTATTACCTGCAATACAGTAGTGGTAAACTGCAAAGAAGCTTTTTCTACCATGTGTAAACCAAACTCCAGAACATGATGTTGGCTACATTCACTCAACCTCCATGTGCGAAGTTAACTGATGATTTTTCTCTGTTTTCCAAAGCATCCTCAGACTAAATATACCAAGATAATAAGGAGCTATCTTGTGTAAAAAATTAATACCGAAACCCATCAGTTTAATTTTAAACAATGGCAATTCTTTCAAACTGTGCTAAAAACAGTCAGCTACTGTTTTACACCCATTATCTTTGGTTTTAATATTGCCTGTTAAAGGTGTGATCACAAAAGGACAACTGGGCCTTGTGGAAATCATCCACCAGTACATTCGTTACGATGAGATACATGAGGCAGTTAATGTCCTGAACACCATGAACTGGAACACTATGGGTCGTCAGTGCTATATCTGCACAACTGCCATTGTCAACCACCTTCTTAAACAGAAGCTTACACCAGACAGAGAAGGTAAGAGACTGTTTATATTTCAAATGTGTTTTTGTGGTGTCTTTGTAATTAATTTTTGATTATGATTGTGACAATATATTCATTGACTGTATAAAGATGACTATAGTGAGAATCCAGACAATCAGCTAGATTGTGGTGCTTCATAATCACATCGTGTGTAGACGAGTTGTTTCAATAAAATGTGGACCAGTATGTTGACTGCATTTTAGTTTGTATCAATAGCAATAGTAAAATAATGCATTTTTAATATATATATATGCTATAGGCATTACTTAATATATATCGCACTAGCATATGTATGCTGTAACATCATTACATTCTACAAGTATGTCTTAGGTTACAGAGAAGTGTTAGTTAATATAGGACAGAAATGTTTGTTATATATTCATGCTGAGACAGCACCAACTTAAAGAGGGATGTTTTCCTGCAACAAGGACAAGAGATTTCAGTATGATTCTTAAGGTGCTTTTGAAGGATCATTCTTTCATTACAAGATGCAAAGGCTTGGAATACACTATCCTCTGCTGCCTCCTTTAGGATTAAAGCATTTGTCTTCACTGTAATCTGGCCCCCCTGCAGTAGTAGCTGGGGTCCCTCACAAGAAATTATGAATTTTAAGTTCAGCCTCGTCTCTGCTGAAGCCTGGTGTGATGCCTTCTTCTTGATTTGCTGTCTATCTTGAAACTCAATAGACTTCAAGATGTGAAATCCTTGATTTAGTGAAGGTGTTATCCTCCAGTCTAGCAGTCTGACAGCTGGAGACCAGGCATCTTTTGTGGCAAGAAAGAATACTTAGGATTCTGGTATATTTGATGATAGAAAAGCTCCAAGGTGTCCTACACTGCCGCCAAGCCATCAGCTATCCCATTTTGTGGGATCTGATGAAAAAAATCTCTGCGTTGCAAACATAACATATTGATTCTAAATAAAACACGCTTTGAAAAGGACCTGTGAAAAGGCATAGGTATGAAACACTTCTAAAAATATGCACATTATAAACAGATGTCTGTGTGTTTCCCCCCATGCAGCTCCCTAACTCTGTTTACAGCAGAATGAATGTTATTCCATCCAAGAGTTATTCTATGTGAATCTAACAAATTGGGCAGGGTAATTTGTTTTCTTTTTTATTAGCAAAACCCAGTGGGGCCTTTTATTTATAGTAATTTGGCAGTTATCTTTGAGATCTTTATCCTGCCTTCAACATCAAGCTGGGCTGCCTAATGAATTTATAACGGTGCTAGCAGTTACTCATCTTCCATGTTGGTGAAAATCTTCCAGTAGTACAAAACATGCTGTCAAGAAAACAGCAATGGCAAGAGAGTATGGCTTGTTTTTGCAAAGGAACAACCGTATTCTATTTTAATCTAAATTGACTGCTGCCTTGAAAAAAAAACAACCTTTAGAGTTCAACTTATCGTACTATCTAGATTTAAGATAACACAAAACCTAATTTACTAGCAGTTTGCCTGTGTTACTAACAGTGTACTACTAGCACATTTAGTGCTATCAAGCCTAATAAAATGTAACTATGCTTGGAAGCAAAGAACCATTGTCACTAAGTACAGAAATGCCTACTTCAAACAAACATTAATAACAGCAAATCAATTAGATTTTCTCTGCCTAGTGGGACAATAGGTTATATTTTACTTTTAAACCAATATAAATATAAAGCAAATAACTATACAGCAAATTCTCCCTATTCTATCCATAAGGCCCTGTACTACACTGTTTGCTGTCAAGCAAAAGTCACATAGCATAAATATTATTGATCATTAAATTTCCTTTCAGCTAAACATGTGGGACACGAAAGTATACTGTGTATTTTCATGTATTATTTATAATTTTGTATTAAAAACATGTAGAAAAGTGCCTAAGACTCAAGCTGTGGTGTATAGCGGTCAGAAAGTATTTAAAGCAGAAAGAACTTGTGTAGCAACAGGGCTTTATTTTATTGATTACAGGGCAGGTTATCCTATTTCCCACCACTACATGCTGTCAAACCCTTAGGGTTTCTAGACCTTTTATATGAAATTTTTAAAGAACTGTGGGCTGAAGGAGGTTCCTTAGACCTCAAGGCCATCACAAAGAGGGTTCTGTTACCCGCTGACCTAACACAATAATCCCTGAAAAACTGAACTCCCTTGTTGTTTGCCTAAGAGGACAAAGAAGATTTGAGCTAATTGAGAGTTGATCTCTACTGGACAATCTTGTTCAAACTGTATTACTCTTATGAGTCACTTTTAATTGTAGGCTGCTGGTGAGAACTTGATGTGTTATAGTCTTCATTATCCTTTTGATAGCTTTTGTTGCTCAAAGTCATTGTCAGCTCTGCCTCAAAGTGAAAGTTTATATGTACATTTGTGTTTGTAAGATCTGTCATATTTTGATTTCATCTGTCCTACAACAACGTCACATATCATCAGTGTTTGAGGGATTTGACTGACTGCAAACATGAGCAACCTGTTGTAATTGAAACAGAATCACTTGTTTCATTGCCACTGTGTTTGAACTCCACAGCACAGCTTGAGGCAAGCCTGGGAACCTTTTATGCTCCAACAAGACCCCTCTTGGATACAACTGTGCTGGAGTACAGGGACCCAATCAGCAGATACGCAAGAAGGTTCTTCCACCACCTGCTCAGGTGAATGACAGTTTCAACTTCTATCAACTTAAAATGAATTGCATATTTCAATAACTACCTGCTTTAATGTGGTTAACATTTTCCAACAGGACCACCCGTGAAAAAAAATGCATTCCTTGTTAATGTTTGTTTAACTTGCACTTTGTTCCTTTCAAATAGAATATTGCAGATAAAGTGCTATTCAGAGCTCTTCTGTCATCAATACACTTAAAATGAATCACCCTTTCCCTTTTAGCTTGATAGAAAAAAGATAGCATGCTTCTGAGAGATTGATATTCTCCAACTACTTGAAGATTAACTATTGAAAGAGCTTACAAACTTGGAGAAAACACGGAGTTTAAAGAGATGCTAGAGCACAGAAGAATGCTGCATGGTCCAAGGCATTTTTGTCTTTGCACCACTGAAATCTGAGCATTTTATTATTCTCACCTTTGAAGTTTTCATATATAAATTCATGTTCCAGTAATTTTCAGTGCCAGTAAAATAAGAAGAGAAAATGAAACATTGAACTTGTCTGTAAATTATAGAGAATTGTAGAATCACAGAATTGCTTGGGTTGGAAGGGACCTTAAAGATCATCTAGTTCCAACCCCCCTGCAGTGGGTGGGGACACCTGCCACTAGACCAGGTTGCTCAATGCCCCATCCAATCTGGCCTTGAACGCTGGCTGGGATAGGGCATCCACAACTTCTCTGGGCAACCTGTTCCAGCACCTCGCTACCCTGACAGAGTAAAGAATTTCTTCCATATATCTAACCTAAATTTCCCTTCTTGCAGTTTGAACTCATTACTCCTTGTCCTATTACTACAGCTCCTGATGAAGAGTCCCTTGTAGCCCCTTCAGATACTGGAAGGCTGCTATGAGGTCTTCACGCAACCTTCTCTGCTTCAGGCTGAAGAGCCTCAACTTTCTCAGCTTGTATTCACAGGGGAACTGCTCTGATATTAGAAGAGTCATAATACCAAATTCAGCTAGAATTTATGGTACATTGGTTTATTGTTGGTTTTTTTCCTTCAAAATAAATCAGTAGCCTAAATTTAAATCAGTTATAAATATCAATATGCAGCAGTTTAACCTGTTCATGGGTTCAATTGCAAATATAGCAGAAACATTCCCTCTGAGAATTATCCAGTTGGTGAAAGCAAAGAGAGGTTACTTTCTGAATGATGCAATGTTTGTAACACCTTGTTGAGAGTGAGTGTGGATGGACATAGCGAGAAGACTTAAAATGTACCATTTTTTGGTGATTCCTCCAGATTGTATATATTGTCTGTATATGCAAAGCTAGGAACTGCGAGTTACTTGGATAGTACGAGTATGCTCTTTTCAAATCTTACAGTAAAATATTTTGTACTGTCTTCTACATTTTAAGTGTGAAGAGGATCATCTTTCTGGTAAACAGAAGTCCATTCCAGTGGGGAAATTATTCTAAGTAGAAAAATGCTCCAATATTTGCATAATATGCATCGGCCTTTCACTGGAGTTTTCGTAATACATGTGGCCACAGCAGCGGGTACAAACTCTGCTTTTGGCTTTCTCCTAGAAACCAGCAGGGAACGTCTGTTGCAGGAATGGCCAACTTGCAGTGGCTGTGGGCCAGTTGCCTGCAGAGGACAGATGTGGAAAGAACACCTCAGAGCTTGCTGAGAGGTGTAACTATAGTGCTCTTACACCAGCAAGAGAAAGGTGTATTCCCTCTGACTCAGGATTTGCTTCCAAATGCTAGCAGGCATGCAGAGGCATGGGGCCCTGGCTAAGCTGCCAGCCCTTGGGGCTTCTGAACGCAGCTGAAACACTGACTCAATCCTCCTTAAAGCAAGAACCTTCAGTGTCAGAATGCTGCCTGGACAGCATGGGGCACAGGCAGGAGGTGTGCGGGAGAGTCTCCTCATGTCTTTTACCTCCAGTATAAAGCAGCCCTTGAATAATCTACAGTTGTGGCAATTTGAGGAACAAAAGTGTGTTATTTTGCTGTTTTCCTATTGTCAAAGGGATTTGTATTCAAGTGATAGGATCATGTGATTGCTGCAGAACAGATGGTAATGCTTAAAGCTTATCTCAGAAGACATAATCTAAGTACAAAGTTAAATGTTCAAAAATGGGAGATTTATCTGATAGAAAGCAAGGAAATGATGTTCAGAGCTGATCATTATTGCATTAAACTGACTGTGCCTTAATTGGTGTTTGTTTCCTTTTAGATGTTCTCCATAAACTGACTGTGCCTTAATTGGTGTTTATTTCCTTTTCGATGTTCTCCTAAGTGACTAGAATGCTTTGAATGTAGGCTAAGCAGAGAGAACTACAGATTTGTTGGGGAATGGTTCTGGGTAAGTGAATGCCATCCAGGATTGATGCATTTGAATGTAGGCTAAGCAGAGAGAACTGCAGATTTGTTGGGGAATGGTTCTGGGTGAGTGAATGCCATCCAGGATTGATGCGATGCCTAGAAGGATCGTAGAGAGGCAGAACACTCACTAATTCAGGCACACAAATTTGCAGCTGCTGCTATTACATCTGTCTGTGAGAGGCCACCAAGGCAAGACACTTCTGCCAGCCTGGATTTACAGCTGTATGTTCAGAACAGGAGGAAACGTGAGAAGAGAATTATGCTCTTGCCATTTCAGGTCACCATGTTATGCCCATGAGGACACTAAAAATGGCGAGTTCCTCCCACTACCTGTTTGTCAGAGACAGCAACTGTATCTGGGTGTCAGGAGGCCTACATTTTAAGTCTCAGCCCTTGTCATTCCGAAATGTTGGAAGTCAAGCAGACAGGGCAGGAGACTGGCTTGACTGAGCAGACCATTCCGAAATGTTGGAAGTCAAGCAGAGAGGGCAGAAGACTAGCTTGACTGAGCAGAGATCTTCTTTTGGAGATAAGGCAAAAAAGGAAGGTGTATGCCCAGTGGAAGCAAGTTCAAGTGACATGGGAGAAATACAGAGATGCTGCTTGTCACTGTAGAGAGAAAATTCGTGTGGCCAAAGCTCAGCTGGAGTTGAAGCTGACCAGAACTGTGGAGGACAATAAAAAGAGGGGTTTTAAATACAATGATGGCAAAGGGCGATGCAGAAATAATATCAGCCCATTACAGGATGAGGATGGTCACTTCACAAAGAGGGACACGGACAAGGCAGAGATGTTTAATGCTTTCTTTGCCCCTCTGGCATTCCACAGGGCTCCATCTCAGGCCAGTGCTCTTCCACATCTCTATAAACAGCTTGGATGTAGGACTCGAAGGTATACTAAATTTGCAGATGATACTAAATTGGGAGGACCTGTTGACTCCTTCAAAGGCAGAGAGGCCCTGCAGAGAGACCTTGATAAATAAGAGAGCTGGGTAATCACCACCTGCGTGAAGTTTAGCAAACACAAGTACCAGATTCTGCACCTGGGATGGGGCAACCCTGGATGTACATACAGACTGGGGAATGAGACAGTGCTGTGGAAAGGGACCTGGGGGTCCTGATTGATGGCAAATTGAATATGAGTCAACAGTGTGCCCTGGCAGCCAGAAGGGCAAACTGTGTCCTGAGGTGCATCAGGCACAGCACCATCAGCCTTTTGAGGGAGATGATGTCCCGGTCTGCTGTGCACTGCTGTGGCCTCACCTCAAGTACTGTGCAGTTTTGGGCACCACAATATAAGAAAGATATAAAGCTATTGGAGAGTGTCCAAAGGAGAGCTGTGAAGATGGTGAAGGGTCTAGAGGGGAAGCCATACAAGGAGCAGGTAAAGTCACTTGGTCTGTTCAGCCTGGAGAAGAGGACACTGAGGGGAGATTTCATAGCAGTCTGCAGCTTCCTCACGAGGGGAAGCAGATGAACAGGTACTGATCTCTTCTCTCTGGTGACCAGTCACAGGACCCAAGGGAGAAGCATGAAACTGTGTCAGGGGAGGTTTAGGTTAGATGTTAGGAAAAGGTTTTTCACCCAGAGAGTGGCTGAGCACTGGAACAGGCTCCACAGGGAAGTGATCACAACACCAAGCCTGACAGAGTTCAAGAAGCATTTGGACAATGCTCTCAGGCACATGGAGCTGTCCTGTGCAGGGTCAGGAGTTGGAATTTGATGATCCTAGTGGATCCCTTCCAACTCATGATATTCTATGATTCTATGATTTGATTTAGTCACTTTTTTACTCTTATTCATTTAACACTGAGTACTTGCAGGCTATTTACAAATGGCTGTTGAATCATTTTAGAGTGAACTTTTTTGTTACAACAGTTTTGTCTACATGACCAAACAAGAGGGCTTCAATGCAGAAGCCCTGTAAAATGCCAATGCCAACTTGAGGCAGCACTAGGGGACATTTGTTACTCTCATGTGAGCATGAGGAGACAAAAGCAAAGTGATGACCTTGTTCCCTATCGCAGCAAGAAGTAGAGCACTTCCTAAGTTATGTGCAGTAAAATTGTGGCTGATATTCAAATATTATTTCTTGGAACAGGGTAGGGCCTTCTGCAGTTCCTTTGGGCTTCTGAGAAAGCAAGCAGTAGATGCACAGAAGTTAAATCTAGAGGATGAGGAACTAAGGAGAGAAGCTCATAAGCTGGGTAGGAAAAGTGTGAGGAGTGGGGTTCGGAGCATGAATAGAAGACAAGGAATTGGGGCTGAAGGCCTAAAAACAGGCATGGGGACATAGAGAGTCCTGCAAAAAGTGAAGTGGGAATGCAGAACAAAATGGGGGAAGATGGCTTAGGATGTGTGTGGTGGGTTTATAGAGGAGACCAGGCACATCAGGGATGGACAGGGAAGGGTGGAGTCTTTTATACAAGATTAGAACACTTACATGTTTCTAGATCTAAATCTGAAAAATGTTCATATAAACAAAAGTTTTCATCCCCCTCTCCAGCTTTCCTTTGAATGCCCCACCAATCTGCCTTAAGCCTTTTCTAGAAGGACCCACTCTGGGGAGAGAAATATTAACTCATTCTACATGCTGAGACAGTCTTTGACCTGCCTGCTGAGTCTGCCAAAAAGGTGCCAGTTATCGTTGTAC